CCCCCGGCTGCCGCCAGAGGGAACCCCAGATCTAGGCAGTGGCACGGGCACTCCGCCCCCTTGCAGGTAACGGAGTCTGGTCCGCAACTCCGAGATGGTCATACCCCCGCAATGGGAGCATGAGTCATCCACGAAAGCCATCTCAGCGTGCTTCATGCCCAGACACGAGAGGCAGCGATCGTGACCATCACCCGGCGCCAGGTAACGACCGCACCCAGAAACACACGGATGGTACGACATCTTTAAAAAGACGCGTCTTTAAAAAGACGTTCCACCCGTGAAGCTCTTTTAGATGGAAATTGCTCTTTTAGTGTGCTGAAGCGCACAGGGGAGATGGCCGTCTGCAACACACACAGGGGTAGTGCAGCCTGTTGTGTGCAACCCACTCGACACGGGAAAACCACCGCCGCTGAAGCGCCGTACCACCAGCATGAGAGCCCACGAAGAGCGTGCTTGACTGTAGTTTTTCACCACTGTAGAAGGTCAGGAGCAGAATGATAGAACCGCTGGGCTCCGAAGCGAAAAGCTGAATATGCGCTGCATCTGCTGCCTACTTATACTCACGCTGTGATCAGCAGCAGCTGGATGCAATAATCGCATGCCAATGTGCATTGGCTCATTTAGTTTACACTCGAAGTAGATTGGTCCCTCTAAGCGAGATCCCAATTCGTCGGTCATCCGACGTGACGTCGAGAGTGACCGACTGAAAGGGAACATAGATATATGTTTTATAAAGAACTACAGAATTTGAAGTTTTTACTGCGTTTTTAAAGGTTGTTCTCTGACAGGCTGAGAGTTCAGCTCCAGTCCTAATGAGACACACCTCAAGCAGCCGATCGAGGTCTTCAGGACAGCCCTGATCTACGACATCAGCCTGCAGAAGCCTTTCTGATTGATCTAGCTGTTAACCTTCTTTCTAAGAGTAGCTTTGATAGCTACAGAAGCAACTGAGCATCCCTGGTCTGTTTAGATGGCCCAGTTCTCCATTAGTGTCAAAATGAAGATGCACAGTCAATATTAAAATGAATTTGCCCCAGACTGACATGTACTGTATCAGCTTGTCCATGTGTTTTGCTGCTATCATTGATGCAGCAGGAATACAGGAGTAATGCAGAGGAACACTGCCAGAACTGTAGGCCGCCTTTCTCGGTCAACAATCAATACAGCCCTATTCAATACAGTTTAAGCATTACACTGCAGCAGCTAATTGAAACCACAGAGTACAAAAATGCAATCAGTGCTAATAAACACTATCAGTGGGTGCAGACACACACATACACTGTATAAAAATTCCGTAACATTTACGGTAAAAAAACGGCAGCTGTGGTTGCCGGAATATTACCGTAAAAAATACGGTAGCAACATTTTAGGTTTTATGGTTTTAACTTAAATTTACAGTTAAATACCGTAATTTCATTAACTGATATAATGTTAATATACCAACCTATTGAAGTACTGAAATCTGTTTTGTACCTTTGTAATACACTGACAACCAACCAATGCAGGTGTGCATTTTTACAGTCTTTTACCGTTAAATTCACGGTAATTTTTTACAGTGTAGAGCTCAACTAGCTTTATTCTGTACATGCACAGGCAGGGAGTTTTGCCTGTAGCGACAGACAAAGAATGTGTAAAGGGTTGAATACATATTACATAAATAATTTTTTTTTTTAATTTGCTGTCTTTATTAGATTGACAGATAAAAAAATAAAAAAATAAAATTGTGTGAGATGTTGTGAATTGTGTTTGATCAGCTCCAGTCTTGGGTTTGTAATATTTGTGATTTGTCAGAAGGATCTGCGGAGTGACAGCTCTCACACACTCCAGCACAACTGGATGACTGAAGCCTCATTAGTGCTCAAACACTAGCCTAATGTCCTAATTAGCAGCTGAAGGGAGGGCAGATGGCACTTCTTCAGTCGCTGCTGTACACTGGAAGCATCTTTTCCTCTCTTCAGGCTGATAACGGCTCAGAGAGCACTAAATAATCGTCTGAAGCGGTCAGCAGCTTTGAGGGTCCACTGTCCACTCTCAATGTCATCTGGGACAGGAGAAGACTCAGGCCTCAAATAACGGCATTGATCCATGTCACACAAGATGCAATCACTCAACTTTATTGATCAGTCTGCACACGTGTGTTTCACTATTACTAGTAACAACAGCAATATCTGACGCTCTGCACTGGCCCCAAAATAATTAAGTTTGAGTTGATTTCTGGATAGTTTCAGAACGTGTTATATTCACGTTACCAAAATAATTAAATGTGAGGCTTGTGAATTGTTTGGAATATTCCTCACTCACGATGGCTGATCGAGGGAGTTCCTGTGGAAAAGCTGTCCTCTAGAGAAGATGGTTTTGCATATTTGACTGATATGCATATGTGCGTGTTTAATGAGACGTTTCCCGTGTGTGGGAGACAGTTTGTTTCATCTCAGCACAGCCTTCTCAGAAATGCTCTCTCTGTTTGTATGCAGATGTATTCTCATTTTCAGATTCACTGTATTTTTCATCATTAATTGATTCCCTTTGAACGTTATGACAGGAGGTATCAGATTCTTTCATAACCGAAAAGCCCAACACAGCTCTCAATTAATCCAGCCGGGTGTCGTTGTGGGATAAAAGAAAAAGACAAGGATGGAGCAGTGGGGATGTTAATAATTACTAAACTGTTTATATTGAACGCACCGGTAATTGCTCTGTTTTACCACTGTGGCCAAACCTTGTGCTTCTGATATTGCACAGAATAAAAGAAAATCAATGCAGTAGGCAGATTCAAAGAATGTGTGGAAAAAGCTTGAGATTTCTAGAATCAGAGCTAAATGGATAGGGAGAATCATTTCATGTACACGTTCATGTCATTAAGTGTTTCCAAATGTACAGAAGCCCACAGAGACTAGTTATTTTTTTACTATAGCGAAGAAAACCCCATAAGAAGTGGTTACAGATACTGTAATAGAACCTAAATTATACACTTCTCCCTCATACATAAAAAAGAGAGAAACATCTACAAAGAGATGCTCTACCAAAATCTGCTAAATAGCTCAGCAAGCATTTGTTAAAAACAAAGCTGCCAAAACAAGGAGCTTTACACTTCCTCCACATTGTGACGTTATGGACATTTGCAACAACACATCAGCGTCTGCTTCACCTCATGCTCAGAGGCAGCGTTGACGACGAATGTGGAAAATGTGTGGAAATTATGAATAAAATAGCAGAGGAGTTTTGGAGTAAATATTAAAGGGTTTCTTTATTTTACTTTAATATGTTCCTTGAGCTTGTGAGTTTTCAAAATGTGGCTATTTTCAACCCTCATTCTGCCAAAAAACACTGTTTTAGTGGTGAATTTCAGTCACTGCATCTCTGTTCATCTCACCTACTCAGGCAAATCATGAGGTGAGATGATTGCGCTGATTGCAAATGTCGCTCACAGTGTGATGTCACAATGTGGAGGAAGTAGAAAGCTCAAAAGCACACTGAGAGAATCTGAGCTCTGAAACTAGAGCAGTGTTTTCATAGCACAATGATGTAATATGTGACCCTGCAGCACAAAAGCAGTCTTAAGTCGCTGGGGTATATTTGTAGCAATAGCCAACAATACATTGTATGGGTCAAAATTATACATGTTTCTTTTATGCCAAAAATCATTAGGATATTAAGTAAAGATCATGTTCCATGAAGATATTTAGTACATTTCCAACCGTAAATATATCAAAACTTAATTTTGAATAGAAATATGCACTTCATTTGGACAACTTTAAAGGTGATTTTCTCAATATTTAGATTTTTTTTGCACCCTCAGATTCCAGATTTTCAAATAGTTGCATGTCAGCCAAATATTGTCCGATCCTAACAGACCATACATCAATGGAAAGCTTATTTATCAGCTTTCAGATGATGTATGAATCTCAATTTAAAAAAAAAAGACCCTTATGACTGGTTTTGTGCTCCAGGGTCACATATATGTCAGAAGAGTCGTGGTGTCATGACCTGTCTGATGGTGTGTCTTTACAGAAACTCCACGTACTGTATGAAGGTGTCCATGTCTCTGACGGTGGAGGAGAGCGAGGAGGGACTCTGCTTCAGCAGCCGAATACGGTACCAGGAGAACGCTGAGGTCACCAAGAGCAAAATGATCAGCTGCCCTGACATCGACGACTATCTCGCACCCTACAAGCAGCCTATCATGACCTGGTACAAGGTACAGGCTCACATCTCACACAGCATGAGAGGACCATGATGGATGCTTTGGTTTCTGTCTCAACTCCTACACTGTAAAAAAAATTCCGTAAAATTTATGGTAAAAAACAGCACATTAGATGTAACATACAACCCTTCTGTACAAACATGATAAGAAAAACTAAGACGAAACATAGTTATTTCAACAACAACAACAACAAAAAAAGAAAACATCAAAGTTGAAATGTAACGCAGGGAATTCTGGGAATGTCAATTTACGGTTATTCACTGTAAATTATACCTTCTTTTTCCAAAAATGATACCTTCTTTTTCCTTGTTCTCTTCCAAAAATGGTATACTACCGTAAAATTACAAGTAATGTCCAATACAGTTTTTCACTGTATATAGTAGGGCAACTTACCATTAACCATTTAACAGGTTTTTACCTTTTGGTCTTTTACCATTAAATTCACAGTAATTTTTTTTACAGTGTTGCCCTAAACATGACCTAAACTAAACCTGAAGAGTTTAGTTCAAACCAGATGTAACACACTAACCTGGAGGTTTCTAGTCCGTCTGAAGAGCATGATTAGCTGGATCAGGTGTGTTTCAAAAGGTTTTGAGCTAAACTCTGCAGGTTTGGAAACCCCTGCCTTAAACCATCTGGCTTTGAGAGGAACATTGTTCCAGGATCAACAAGCCTATTTTTCTTTGAGTTTTAGGATAGTGGGTTTGAAATGAGTGAGTGTGAGACATGTGAAGAGTGGTGTGTTTCCTCAGGAGTGTCAGAGGAAAGAGTGGAGGAGCTCCATCATCATCAACACCACCAGCCTCTGGATCCCGGAGGTGCAGGAGGACGACGGAGGGAACTACACCTGTGAACTCAGATATGGCAGCAGAGTTGTGAGACGGACCACAGAGCTCAAAGTCACAGGTACGTGTTCAAACTCATTCAGATCTGAGAAAGCAGATAGAACCTGTTCCTAGTCAATGATAGTGTCTACACTGGATGTGTTATGTAAACAGATGCCCTGCTCTGTTTCTGCTGTGCTGCATGTGCTTGTGCTCAGAGTAAGAGCGGGGTGGATGATGTCAGCATGCTCATTAACTATGCACACAGTGATTGGCTGATAGTCTCTGTCAGAGATTTATTCATAGAAAAATTGTAGAGTGTGATATTATGTTGCCATCTTCAAATAAAGGATTAAAAATGTTGCCACATTTAAATAAAGATTTTAAAATGCAGGCTAAGTGTCACTAATTAAACAAGTATATGTTCAGATAATTGTCAGCCTCTTACACGTGTGCTTCTCTTAAACAATTAGCGGATATGCATATAAACAGCCTTTTAATTAACAGAGTAGAATAATCATGGCTGATAGTAAGACATGCAAACGTAAAAGAAAACCAAACTGGATGCAAGAACAGCTGTGACTTCTTGCCGAGCTGGTTAATGAAAACAAGGACATAATCAAAGGAAAATCTCCAAAACCAAAAAAGATGCATGGGAAGACATATGTATGCAAATAAATGCAGTGTGTTACTAAAATGTTTCTGTTCTGAGGCAGATTGCTGGAAACAGCTATTTTAGGATAGTTTGTGGCTTGGTTTTAGTGACTTAGGACTCCTCTTCATTACTACTAACAGATTTAGTAGCTAGTTTTAGTGCTCAAACACTTTGTGAAATACTCTTAGTGCAAAAATGTAGGAGTCCTAAATTTAGGACTGACACGCTCATTATTTTTAAGATTTTCTCTTAAATCGGCGAGTCATGAGCTACTTTTAGCCTGAAGATGTTTTGTGAATACAGACCCTGATGTTGCCAAATAACCTGCAGTTCAGTGTTTCTCAGCTCGGACCCTGCTCAAACGCACCTGTCTGAAGCTCTCGAGTGACCCTGAACACCTCGATCAGCTGGATCAGGTGTGTTTGACTGGGGCTGGACAGTGGATATCCAGGCCAGAGCTGAGAAGTGCTGCTGGAGCTGGTCACTTCACATTTTGTTCAGACTAAGGCTGCACATTTATGGCAAAATCACAGTCGTTGATTTGATTTCTCTGGATACTGTAATCTTCAGCATTAAAATGATTAATAGCTCAGTTCTGTCTGTAATGTGACCTCAGATGATCCAGCACTGCTCTGTGTTCCACACGAATGTCTAAAAGCAGATCTGTGGTGTTTGAGCAGCAGTAGCTGTCTGTGGTCAGCAGGTTCTGGAGGGTTGCCAGAAAGTGTTTTCTCTGTCAGCCTCATGCCTGGAGCCCATGGAGGAGTGGGATTGTTTGAAAGCGAGCTCTTGTTCAAGCCTCCAGCCCTTCAGCCTCTTCTGTGCACATATCCAGGATAAATCCAGGTCTGCAGAGCAAACAACAGACTGCACACAGCAGTGGAATCAGAAGAGACTCTGCTTTCACGACTTGTGCCTGCATAATGTGACCTCGCTGTGTCTTTCTAATGCTCCCTAAGGCTACACAACACTCAACTCATCTCAGGCGCTCTCTCATTACTATACATGAATCGTTAGAAACAACAACACTTACACATGCCGCCCTAATTAGTTCTTGATCATACAGTATTACCATTGTGCATGACCATGAAAACCAGATGAAAATGAGCATACTGTACATGCATGTAACCAAAGCCAGTGCCTTCAACATTTCACTGTGCAAATCCCATCGAACACTGAGTTAATGATGCATTTATGATTGATTGCAGCACAGCCATATGTAGCAGATGTTAGATTTTCACAAACCACTAAACTGGAACACTAGAAGTTCTAAAGTGCTGATCTGAGAACAGTTCCCTTGCATTTGCTTTCTTATAGATGGATATGCATAATCCTACTGGATGTGACTATAGAAGAAAACTTTTCCCAGTCAAGCAGGAGGAGAAAATTTGTAAGAGAGAAATAAGAGTGTCTGTGAGCTGTAAGTTTGTGTAAATCCGCCTCATCCGGGATGTAAACGGTCAGGACTCTTTCCGTGTCACATGATAATGGGAGCTGAGACAGGAGCTCGTCTGCTAACGAGCCTTCCTCATCGATGAATGATGGGCCGCTACGAGAGCCTCGCTCCAGCTCGTCTTCTGACAGGGCACGACAGCAGCAGAACACACATTTATCTCAGTGTCGTTCCAATCCCCCGCACACATCATCCTCATCCTCATCATCAGCACGTGTGAGCAGAAATTGTCACGCACCTTTATTGTTTTGCCCAAAGGCAGATGATTTGTCTCTCTCAGACGCTGAAGGGGCTCTAAAACTCAAGAATACATCAAGAAATAACAACGTAATTCAGTTAACCCAGCTGATTTGCATTGAATTCTTGCAAGGTTTTTGCAAGAGGAGAATTCTGTGAAAGGAGAATCTTTACACACTGCTGATCTCAAATACCACACAGCTCTCAAGCTCTAAAAACGACATGTCATCTTCATCAAGTAAAAAGTCAAGTAAAGTTGGCTCATGTAAATAGCTGGTTTTAAGAGAGTTTATTAAAATCACTCCATTAATTAAGCAGTGTTTGTAACACTGAGAGCGTCTCTCGTCTGCATGCGGAGATGCTATCGGTCACTTCACGACCGCTGCTCTGTTTAAAGATCTGCTCAGCTGCTGCTCCAGTGATGCTGGGGATGATGCAGCATGATAATGGCACTATTCCATGCTCATCCTCTCACCGCAGGCTGTGTCGATCCATGTTTTATCATGATAATGCAGCTCATCTGCTGTTCAGTCTCTGAGAGATGAAGCTGCTCCTGCTGGATCCTCTGGTTGTTCATCAGGACGCTTCATTAAGACTCTTAGCATCAAACTAAAACCCTGGAAACTAGGATAGTCCATAAATGTTTGTCTGCTTCTGTTACTGAAATATCCAGTGCAGTGATACATTTAAATTTAAATTTACATTTACATTTACATTTAGTCATTTTGCAGACGCTTTTATCCAAAGCGACTTACAATTTGGGGATACATAAAGCGATTCTTCTTTAAGAGGCAAACAGACACAGGAAGTGCTTGTAATACCAAGTTTCTAGACATTGTTCAAATAAGTACAAGCTAGAAAGAGAAGGAATAAATAAAGAGAGAGAAAATTTTTTTAATTTTTTTTATTTATTTTTTTATAATGATGATGATGAAGTCAAGTAGCTTCGAAAGAGATGAGTTTTCAGCTGTCACTTGAAAATTATCAGGGATTCAGCATTCCGGATAGGGGTGGGAAGATCATTCCAGCAGCCAGGAACAGTGAACGAGAATGTTCTGGAAAGTGATTTTGAGCCTCTCTGTGATGGTACCACGAGGCGTCGCTCACTAGCGGATCTCAGACTTCTGGAGGGGATGTAGATTCGTAGTAGTGAGTGGAAGTAGGCGGGTGCTGAGCCTGTGGCTGTTCTATATGCAAGCATCAATGTCTTGAACTTGATTCGAGCCGCGACCGGTAGCCAGTGCAAGGAGATAAAGAGAGGTGTAACATGGGCTCTTTTGGGCTCGTTGAAGACCAGTCGTACCGCTGCATTCTGAATCATTTGTAGAGGGTTGATTGTGCTTGATGGAAGTCCAGCCAGAAGAGCATTGCAGTAGTCCAGCCTAGAAATGACAAGGGCCTGGACAAGAAGTTGTGCAGCATGCTCCGTTAGAAAGGGCCTGATCCATCCATAAATGATCCATATTATATATGAATTTGCACCCCTTTACCTAAATTCATTACTTCAGTTATGTGCCCTCTAGAAGCTTGTGTTCTGCAAGTGAACGTCGCTTTATTGTTCATCTCAAAGAAGCACAAAATCACTTTCACAGACTTTTACATTAACTGTTCCCTCCTGGTGGAATGACCTGCCCAACTCAATCCCAGCAGCTGAGTCCTTAACCATCTTCAAGAAATGACTAAAAACACATCTCTTCCATCTTTATTTGACCCTCTAACTCTAGCACTCTCTATTCTAATTATATTCTTTATTAAAAAAAAAGAACTTGCCCCTTTTAGACTTGCACTCTATTTATTTACTAACTGCTTGTTTTCTTAAAAACAACAACAAAAAAACTAACACTAGCTTCTCTATTCTTTTTGTATTCTATCTATTTGTTTTCTTTTTATTCAAATTAAAAAAAAACCTTGCTACGTGTACTGCGTTAAGCTAACTGAGACTTGTTATAGCACTTGCATGTCATTGCTCTTTTGTTGATTTGTTGACTGCAGGAAAAGAAAGGAATGTGTTCCTGTTGAGACAACACAAATCAAGCAACCAAGGGAATTGGGTTTATCTCAAAATTTTTAATGGTTTTACTGGTTTTAATGGAAACTGTAATGGTCCCTGTGGGTCTCTACTGGTAATTGGTCACCTTCTATTGGTGGCTTGTTAAAACCACTAAATCCTAATGGAATATGTCCCAAAACACAATACAGAAAACCACTGTTTAATGGTTTTAACGGTTAAAAGTTGATGGTTTGTAATGTTTGTAATGGTATTTGTAGTGGAAGCCAATTTCACCAAGGCTGTTTTACCCAAACATTCAGTTTATGTAAACATTTACTGACATTTGTGAGTTATTTTTTTATGCTTTTATTTGTGAGAGCTTTTTTATTTTTTATTCCTGTTGTTGACATGCTGCAAGCATTCCAGTGCTGTTTTTTTCAGACACATCAAGCAATACTGAATAATACTGTGGTCTCCTCTGAATCTGCATGTTAGGGTAAACTGCATTAGCCTATGGAAAGCGGCATCAGTCTATATCAATTTGAAATTGTCTTGGTTGATTCAAAATTGTCTTGAAATTACAAAGTAAGCATTTTGCATGACCCCCCCACTATACTATAACCAGAAACTCAGATTTTTGTTTAATCGTTTTCATGAATATTTTCACTTTGTTTTTAGCTTTACTCTTTGAGGTGGCATTACTTTTGTAGTTGTAAAAGAGCTACTTCAGTAATTCCTGTGGGTGGA